CCCCCAGGAGTGTTGTATGCGGTGAATGGCCCGGCCTACGACGGACCCTCAGACCTGACAGTCCAGGGGTTCACGGTAGACATGAGCTCTGGTCAACTGCTGGAGTCGTGGAACATACCGCAGGGACTGAGGAACCCCCATGACCTGGCAGTGGACCCCACCACCTGTGGCTCCGTCTATGTGGGAGAACTCAACCCTCGGGTGGTGTGGAAGCTGACCCGTGCTGACCGCTCCACCACCCCCACCCCTCACCTACACATGGACACTCAGATTGGTAGGTCGTGTCTGTGTGTCGTGTCAGTGTGTCTTGTGTCATGTCAGTGTGTCTTTTCAGTGTGTCATGTCATTGTGTCTTGTCATTGTGTTGTGTCAGTGTGTCATGTCAATGTGTTGTGTCAGTGTGTCATGTCAGTGTTTCATGTCAGTGTGTTGTGTCAGTGTGTCATGTCAGTGTCTCTAGTGTCAGTATGTCGTGTCACTGTGTCATGTCATTGTGTCTTGTCAGTGTGTCATGTCAGTGTGTCATGTCAGTATGTCGTGTCACTGTGTCATCTCATTGTGTCGTGTCAGTGTGTCTGGTTTCAGTGTCATGTTAGTGTGTCATGTCAGTGTGTCGTGTCAGTGTGTCTGGTTTCAGTGTCTCTGATTTCAGCGTGTTTTGTCAGTGTGTCATGATGTCAGTGTGTCATGTCAGTGTGTCTGGTATCAGTGTGTCATGTCAGTGTCTCTGGTTTCAGTGTGTCATGTGTGTCATATGAGTGTGTCATGTTAGTGTGTCATGTTAGTGTGTCATGTCGGTGTCTCTGGGTTCAGTATGCCATGTCAGTGTGTTATATGCATGTGTCATGTCAGTGTGTCTGGTGTAAGTGTGTCATGTCAGTGTCTCTGGTTTCAGTGTGTCATGTGTGTCATATGAGTCTGTCATGTCAGTGTGTCATATGAGTGTGTCTTGTCAGTGTCTCTGGGCTCAGTGTGTCATATCAGTGTGTTTGGTGTCCGTGTGTCATGTCAGTGTGTCACCTCAGTGTGTCACGTCAGTGTGTCATGTGCATGTGTCTGTTGTCAGTGTGTCATGTCAGTGTGTTTGGTGTCAGTGTGTCATGTGTCAGTGTGTCATGTCAGTGTGTTTGGTGTCAGTGTGTCATGTGCATGTGTCTTGTGTCAGTGTGTCATGTACGTGTGTCTGGTGTCAGTGTGTCATGTCAATGTCTCTTGGTTCACTGTGTCATGTCAGTGTCTCTGGTGTTTGTGTGTCATGTCAGTGTCTCTTGTGTCTGGTGTCAGTGTGTTATATCTGTATGTCATGTCAGTGTTTCTGTTGTCAGTGTCTCTATTGTCAGTGTGTCATGTCAGTGTATCTGGTGTCAGCATGTCATGTCAGTGTGTCATGTCAGTGTGTCATGTCAGCGTGTCATGTCAGTGTGTCATGTCAGTGTGTCATGTCAGTGTGTCATGCCAGTGTGTCATGTCAGCATGTCATGTCAGTGTCATGCACATGTTTCTGGTGTCAGTGTGTCATGACAGTGTGTCATGTCAGTGTGTCAAGTCGGTGTGTTATATCAGTGTGTCATGTCAGATGTCAGTGTGTCATGTCAGTCCTTCATGTCAGTGTGTCATATTCTTTCGTGATGTCAGTGTGTCATGTCAGTGTTTAGTGTCTGTGTGTCATGTCAGTGTGTCATACACATGTCTGGTGTCTGTATGTCAATTCAGTGTGTCATCTCAGTGTGATATATCAGTGTGTCATGTCAGTGTCTCTGGTGCCAGTGTGTCATGTCAGTGTTTTGTGTCAGTGTGTCATGTCGGTCTTTCATGTCAGTGTGTCATATCCTTGTGTTATGTCAGTGTGTCGAGTAAGTGTGTCATGTCACTGTGTCAGGTCAGTATGTCTTGTGTCAGTGTGTCATGTCAGTGTGTCATGTTAGTGTGTCTGGTACCTGTGTGCTATATTAGTGTGTCGTGTCAGTGTGTCATGCCAGTGTGTCATGTCAGTCTGTTATATCAGTGTGTCGTGTCAGTGTGTCTTGTCAGTGTCTCTTGTGTCAGTGTTTCATATGTCACTGTGTCATGTCAGTATGTCTGGTGTCAGTGTGTCATGTCAGTGTGTCTGGTGTCAGTGTGTCATGTCAGTGTGTCATGTCAGTGTGTCTGGTGTCAGTATGTCGTGTCTCTGTGTTGTGTCAGTGTGTCATGTCAGTGTGTCGTGTCTCTGTGTTGTGTCAGTGTGTCTTGTCAGTGTGTCATGTCTCTGTGTTGTGTCAGTGTGTCGTGTCAGTGTGTTGTGTCAGTGTGTAGTGTCAGTGTGTCGTGTCAGTGTGTTGTGTCAGTGTGTCATGTCAGTGTGTCGTGTCAGTGTGTCGTGTCAGTGTGTCATTTGATCTCACTGTCTCTTGTGTCAGTGTGCTATGTCACTGGCTCTGTCTTGTCAGTGTGTGTTGTCAGTGTGTGTTGTCAGTGTGTCATTATTGTCTGTTTGTTTGTGGAAGCAGAATCACTAACTAACTAATTCTCTCTCCC